TTGGTGGGGGGCAACTTGACAAGGGGGCGACTTTTTAAGGGGCAATTTTACAAGGGGCGACTTGACTGGTATTCCTACATACTGTAGCCTTCGTGCAATCCAACGTTCTTTTATGTGGTATTTTTTACTATTGGATATAAGTGATGATGTAATACAGAACTTACAGTATTATATTCATAAATTTTCGATTGTCACTTACAATTTTTTAAGACTTGCCAAAACATCGAAGTCACCTTGCGTTGTAGTTTTTCTGTTAAATCTCAGATCCCTTAAAAGAGAAATACCAAAGTGATTTAATTGAATTGGATCTCAATGACATTATTATTATTATTGTCATTAACCTCATATATTAGTCATCCCCTTTAAAATGTTAACAGCCATGATGTTTTTATCACTTGGATCGATGGATTGATGTAAACAAAACATAAAACAAAGATACAACAAGATGATAGGTGGTCATGAAACCTGTATGATCGGTATGATTTTCATATCTGTAATTAATACTCCTCATGTGACCGATTACGATATATACTATTAGCAAGGCACACAGTACCACATAATAAATTAAGTCTATATAGATAGGCCAACAATTATAATAGTTGATAACGGCGTACATAGCGAAAGCAACCTTCTGGTAACAACCTATATATATATAACCAGTACTGTCAATAATCCATAACTCGCTGTTTTGATAACCCTGCTTCGGATTGTGGCAGTATGGGTTTTTCGTAAAAAAAAATGTTTTCATCAAATTCTGTTAGCCTACAATTATTTTTTGACTTCAATGTGGGTAAATGTTAATATTCTAATTTTTATTTTCTGAAATTTAAGCTAAATTATATTAACGCAAATGCTGTTGCTAAACTGACCAATCGGCCATATTTTTTTGGTCACGTGCATAACTTAAAGTCTATTTTACGAACCAGTCGAATGAAAATAATACTCAACGAAAATTCGTACTCAACGAAATGAACCAGTCGAATAAGCCCATTGAATAAAAGAAATCTATATAGCTTGTGTACTGCAGAAAAAAAATACGCCTTGGTCGTCCATTTGGACTTTAAATTGGGCGTTCTTTCATAAAGCACACTGGCGTTCCACAAAAGTTCTGCTGGCCAGAGTTCCATACTAAAATGCTGGGTCGAGTAGAAGGGACCATTTGTAGTAAATCTGCCAAAGTGTGTGTATGTGGGATTTTGGTTTAGTTGTATTTTTTTTTTAATTAAAGGAAAGTTTATCGTAGCGTCAAGCGTTCATTGGCATAGATCCCGGGGGATGGGGGATATATCCCACCAATATATGACAAGGGGGGTGGTCCATTGTATCATCCCCCCACCAATATTTTGACTATGTATGGGATATAACGGAGCTTTACTTACTTCAAAAGACTGTCCCAGAAAAAAATTACAATGTCTAATGCGCTTACAAAGATGAAAATAAGCATAATGTATTAATGTTGATAACACAATTATTTTATCTGGTACCAATCTAAGCTCTTCTTTCCATAGATGTTAGATGTGCTTGCAAAGCAAGCCACATTTTCACATTGAAGGCTGTGTACGACATCAGTAATCTTATGTCAATTCCAAGAATGTTTAAGGTTATATCGGTTGATGAGGAATTTATTGATTAGGCCTAAAATAGCAAATTGCATCAATTTATTTTGCAAAAACAAGGTTTCCAGCTCCAGAGGGGGGCACATCCAGTGTCCGCACAAGGGCACACATTGGCGCTAATGCCAGGCGCGTAACAGGGGTCTTGGGTCAGGGGGTATTTATTTTCCTGGTTAGTAATTTATCATACCCACCGCACCCCACTCCCCATATAGAAAACAATACGACATAGGGCTTATCTTATTTATAATATAGGCCATACACGTGTGTTTGAAACTAAATATAAGCATTTTCATCATGGTTTTATTTATTACAACATAATCTTTCACCATCAATTCACATTAAAGCCCTTCTTCTAGGTTGAAACGATCTATCTTAAATTTTTCTTTCTTGAGTTTGGGACTATTATGTGTTTAAATAACTTAAACGGATACGCCATCGGGCAGCATAGATCAAGGAGTTATGACAGTTTTTGAAGTGGAGAAGGGGTTGCAGGGTGTTGTGAGTCTGGTCATTATGATATCTTAATTTTTTATTCTCGTCTTTATTTTTCTCTTCTCTTTTTATTTTCCTTTCCTTTTCTTTTCCAATTCTTTCTCTTTCCCTCCCTCTCCCTCTTTCTTTTCTCTTATTACCTAGCCTGGTACGGCGGCTTGGTCAGCCCGGTAAAAACCGTCAGGGGAGGGGCAATCTTCCCCCTCCCCCGCCACTGGCTAACACGCCAATCATCCCCCCAATGAAAAATACTTTTCTACGCCACTGCAAGCGTTGTAGTAGAATGCGTTGCATTTGCTATGCGCCAGCGGCTGGCAATGAGCCCGGAGACGGGCGTTACGCCACTAGCAGATCATAGGGGGACATGTTCTCTTCACAAAGGGCTTGGTACCCCCACGTTTTGACCGCATTGCAATTTCATGTTTCAATAAGATACTTGAAAACTGTTAAAATGAACTGTATAAATGACGAGGATTTTAAAGAAAAAACGTTCTACATTAGTTCTATTAATTTAAATCATTAACTTACAACACTTAATTAATATGTTAATGTCATGAAACAAGTGTTATTAAAAGTTTATAATTAAATAATAATAAAATAATAATAATAATAATAATAATAATAATAATAATAATAATAATAATAATAATAATAATAATAATAATATACTTTATTTAAACACGGAGACACTTGAATCACCCATGGGTGTTTTTCATTTTGGCCGTGCAAGGCCATACATAATTAGAAAAGAAAAAAATATTGAAAACAAAAATAAATTAAAGAAAACAACAAAAACATAATATCTTAACTACCAGTGAAACTATCCCCCGCCGGACACCAACCCGGTATTTCTAAGTTTTGGGGATCAGACCATGAGGAATTTGTTGGAGCTTTATTTTGACTGTAGTTGTGATGAACTTTGGTATATAAGAGTGCCGTTTCCGGCCATCTAGAGGTAACTATTTCTTGTTGGGGCTGAGGAGAGTGTTGATTCACGACTGCCCCCGACCCCCACCTATCAAAACAGATATGCATTCTTAGAACCACTGAACTGAGCCCTTTCCCCTTACACCACAATAGGGGCCTTTAGTGCTGGTCCCAGCAATGACCTCATTTACCCCATTATTTCCACGACTCAGACCGTATGGCCGCCCGTCACTACATTTTTCTCATCATCATAATTATTAAATACCATATTAAAGTATGGAACATCTATGAATTTGGAGTGTATTCACTCATTAACAGACCAGAAAGAAATGCCAGTGCATTTCCAGAAAACTAAAGCTTTCCAAAGGAGTACCCCAGAACCTACCCCTCCAAACAACCCGCTCGGTGCTACGCACCTCGCATCCACCCCACCCCCATTGCTAAATCTTAGATCCGCCACTGATTAGCCTCAATTTGAAAACAATGTCTATTTAGCCAACAAGTCAATTGTAGTTTCCTGAAAACAGGTGTACTATGCACAAATTTTGGGGTAACAAGATATCGGACGAGCTGCAGTACGGTATTTTAACGCATTTTTTATGAAGACCTACTAGTGAAAAGTATTAATTACAAAGACGAGCCGCAGTATTTAAATATCTTTGTAATGAAACTTATTAAGATAATAAATAAATGTATTCGATGCATGTACAAGTTTGCATCATATCTGTCTCTTATACACATCTAGATGTGTATAAGAGACAATTTATACATGCTCCCAGCTGTCACTTCACCAAAACATATGTATACAGCCACTCATTACGCATGAGATGAATTTCATCTTCGGACTTAGATGTTCAAAATCTCACAAAAGAACTATCCGGATAACTCAGAATAGAAATTATCAAGGACCCATTTAAAAGCTATCAAACAAGCAATGGATATACCTCGTGCTCAAAAACTGACGTGAAGACCGCGTCGCTGATCTACCAGATATTTTACATACAAATACTAGCAAATAACAGAGATCCATAATTATGATTCGACAAAAAGATGGGATCTTCGAAAAGATATTTTTAAATAAATCACGTAAAACTCTAGATCCTCTAGCGGTAAAGCTGTAATAAATGCATAATGAGAGAGCGAGAGTTGGTGAAAGGAGTAGAGAGTGTGAGTGGAGAGGAATAAAATAACATTAAGGCAATGAAAACAGCACGTTTTGAGTGCATTTGAGAGGACTATTTATTAACAATATGATACGGTACTTACTTCATGTAAGTTTCATCTGAGCATTCGTTTCCGTTTTCTAAAACAACAAAAAGTTATGGAGACCTATGGTGAATTCTGTAGGCAAGCCTAATATTCAATTAACATAGCAAGACATGGAAAAACGTTAATTACATGTTTACTTAAGGCGAAGAGTCGAATAGCTTGTTAGTTAAGATATTTGTCTTTTTATACCAGAGTCCTTGGATACATTCCTGTCAGTGTTGCAGGATTTTGTTTCACGGCCAATAACAACACCACTCCCTCAACCTCATATTGAAATTAAGTTTGTTTAAAGTGAATGTTTGTCTTTTGTTACATACTCACTTCTGACAATCTTTATTACATATGTTGTGTGGTTAAATAAAATGAATAAAAATGTATAAATAAAATAAAAAAATATTAAAAATATATTATCTTGATTTTCATCAACTTAGGCATTTACTAATAACATCAGTATTATTTTAAAAATTGTAATTGTCATTTAAAATTATTTAAGAATTTGAAACTATTACCATTGCCCTTTAATGTCAGAGCAAACTCTTCCAGATAACACAGCACTTCGTCTATGTGACACCGTCGTTCTCTCTCATTTTGCCAGCATCTGTCTATCATTGGCTTTAATGCCTTCGGAAAATCTTCCGGAATAGAGAGTAACACGCCATTCATTATATTATTCGTGATATCGCCATCCTGCATACCTGCCCATGGTTGTTCACACGTCCATAATTCCCAAACAACAACACACAAAGAGTATATATCTGACTTTTGAGACACTACCCTGGCATCCCTGAAAACCTCAATGGGCGCCCATGATTTTGTGAATCCTCCATAACTTGTCAACAATGATTCTGAATTTTTCCCCTGCTTTGAAAGACCAAAATCACAAAGTTTCAGTACATTGAGCGAATTTTCGATATCATCGCTTAACAAATAATTCATTGACTTAATGTCTTTATGAGTGATATTTTTGCTGTGTAGGTACTGAACAGCAGAAGCAGCTTGGCAACACCATTGAGCAAACTGAGATTCTGGCAATCGCACTGGGGATGCTGGTTCGGTATGTTCGTGTCTCTTAGCAGCTAAATAGGCGAACAAATCACCTTGAGTTGCCAATTCCATGACAAGACCAAATGACGGAAATCTGTCATACTGACCATAAAACTTGATTACATTTTTATGGTCAAGATCTTGGAGAATATTTATCTCTATCTCTTGTCTGTTTTTTTTATATATTTTGACTGCAACTTTAATCTTTCTCTTATCATCTGTCCTCCAACAGGCTTTAAAAACCTCTGCTGACGAGCCAATACTGCCAATAGTCTCTTCAGATTCGAAGTCAAGTTCTTCATGTTTGATAGAACGAATACCTGATACATTCATTACAGCGACAGTACAATACAATCTACAAGACAGTCCATCAATAAATACGGGTACAGTGCACAGTAAATAATCGTCAGAAGCGCTGGTCTATATTAGAGCAACAAATTCAGTTTGCGTTGTTGCAGAACAACGTTACTTCCTTGTTTGTAGAATACATGACGTCAGCAGGTACAAAACAAACTTTTAATTTATTACGCCGGCAATTGCCCTTTTTTTCTAAATAGCAGAGACAACTGAGGGCGCAATCTCCTCTCATCAATGATAATTATACTGAACGTAGATGTACTACAGCGGTACAAACACAGCAGTGTTGGGTTATCCAAGCCTGCTAACGCTCGAATACTTAATAGTAGTAATTCATTGTAAAACAGCACTTGTGTAACAGTACCCTTTACTTATATAAAATAGAAAAACAAAAATTGATTGTATTTTTACTCACAGTGTTATGACACTTAGACCAGCAACTTAGTTAACAATATAATTTTAATGCCTATTGTAAAATTTGAAAAAGATATTCGCTCACAAAACCTAAATTTCCGTTTAAAAACATTAACATTAGTTTTTAGACAGTAGAGCCTGGCTCGTTGGCCCAACGGATCTAGCCTTAGTAGATTTGAAATTGGTGCCTAAGATTAAAAAGATAGTATGGCTAGGTGAATTTAAGTGGTGAGCAACAGGGAAGCCCATTTGATGCTCTTTAGTTTTTTATGGTCAAGTTTGAGTTTACATTCGGTTTCGCCCATATAATTGCCGTTATTACATTTAGTTCAAAAACGACAAAATTCTGCAAACTTCGTTCGGCAAACCAGGTTTCGGCCAACTGGGATTCCATGTTTTCGGTGACCAGGATTCGGCAAACTTGGTTTCGGCAAAGTGGCATAAATTCGGCCAATCGGGTGTCGACTAACTGGATTTCGACCAATTGCGGTACATCGAGGATCGGCTCTTCCTCTTAATATACTAATTAATAAAAACAGAAATTTGTTCATACACTCTATTTACAACAGCAGCAACACCAGATTAGAACTAGAAACTTAAACTAGAAATGTTTAACTAGAAATGTTTAATAGAACAGAATAGAATCCAGACCAAACGTCACCATGTTGGCGCTCAGGTGCCAAGGATTGGTCATAACAGCAGGGGTGGCGCCAGGACTTGCCCGACGAGGGCCTATACCACGTCTTTGTCGACTTCAAGAAGGCTTTTGACAGGGTTTGGCAGGCAGACTTTTGGGCCACCATGAGACAGATGTGTATAAGAGACAGTTTTAATACTGCTAGATACGCCATTGTCCCCGACGGGGGGAAGATGCCCCTAACGAAGAGTCAGATTTCCCCACGAAAGCAATGTGGGCGTGGTCGAGCTTCGTGGCCCAGGGGATGAAACCCCTGAAAATCTTAACAATTTAAGGATTTCAATGGGGGAAGGGGGGGGGGGTCGGCTTACGATCTTTAAAAATCTCGGTTTGTTGGTCAGGATTACTTTTATATAGGCCTAATTCTAGGGTTCATATGATCATACACTCACACCATTATTTTTATTTGTTTTATTTGTGCTCCAGGGCCCGTTGTTGGGAAGAAGAAAATGTACTAGTACGTGCTACTAATAGACCCCAAAAACCACATTAAAATTAACCTTATACCGGACTTAAACATAACGATATATGACAGAAACATATCATATATCTGCCCATCAGTGCGCGTCCTTATTAAGGATGTATCGATTTCTGTCTGTAACGATGAAATCAGAATATGCCTTGAACGGCTTGGTTGCAAAATACTCGGAGATATCCAATACGTGAAATTCCTCATCAGTAGAAAGCTATCTAGCTTTATCAATGGTGATAGGTCAGTCGTTGTCGATCCATTTAGAGGTAGCCTGCCACTATGGAAAGCCGAGTCCGCCAAAAATATCAAAAACAATCCATTCAACAACAATTCAAACGCACCAAATTCAAACCATTCAAACATATTCCAAATATACTCACACCATCACATTCAAGGTGTGACCATCTCCCCCTAAAGCAAACCACAATATTCAAGACCATCTAATATAAACTCAAACCGACTACTAATGAATACTGAAACCGATCAGTCATAAATTACTTAATTCGACGTCAAGACAAACATCTATTATTCACGTCTTTCTGTTAAAACAATAGCTGATCATCCAACACAAAAAAAAAAAAACATTTCGTTTACTCGTTTGCCCAACCATTGAGCGTGAATCCAATCCATTCAGTTGTTTTTCGTTTAACTACTGTGAACACCAAACCATGCAGTGATAAAGCAGTTCATATAGCTACTTTTCAAACTCCGGGTTTTCAAATTCCTACAATTCATACAACTACTCTGTACACCGAACAATGCAGTGATAGATCAGTTCATTCAGCTACTTTTCAAACGCCGAGTTTTCAGTTTTCAAATTACTACAAGTCATACAACTACTCTGTACACCGAACCATGCAGTAATAAATCAGTTCATTCAGCTACTTTTCAAACGCCGAGTTTTCGAATTACTACAATTCATACAACTACTCTGTACACCGAACCATGCAGTGATAAGTCAGTTCATTCAATACAACTACTCTGTACTCTGTGCGTTTGAATTGTTGTTGAATGGATTGTGTTTGGTATTTTTGGCGGATTCGGTGCTCGGCTTTTCCACAGAGATCAACTAATTGTACAGAAATGTTTTTATTGCAATGGCGTTGGGCACAAAATTAATAAATGTCCACAGAAGAAACCATTAGTGTGCCACAGATGTGATAAAGAAGGCCACGTTGCTAAGTTTTGCAAAGAAGCCCTACAAAAAGGTATTAGTGGTGGTGATGCTAAAAGGTTCGATGTAGTGCTAATAGTTACACTCTTCCTAAAGCGAATCCAAAAAGCACAAGACAATTGTAAACACATCTGAAGCTGATAAAAACGGACCTGAGCAGCTATTCCGCCAAACCTCCGGAGAAAAGTTTATCCAGAATATGTGGAAAAGCATTGTTACATAAAGTCAGGATAGTAGAAATTCTGACTGGGGTCCATGGAATTCAAGCGAGGATACCAACAACAGCGAAGTCGACATGAATGACAAAGAGGATCTCACGAAAAGTGGAGATGAAAATGAAACGGTTGAGGACGCTGTCACGTCTGGCGCCAGTGCTCCTAAAAAGGACAATATCCAAAAGGGAATCACATCGTTCATTTCTTCAAAAGCTCCAGTACAGTCTGCTGCATCCCAAGGCACTGGTAAAGAAAATTAACTTGAAAAGAAAAAAATAGCTGAAGAAAAGTCAATTCCAAAAAATTCGCCTAGACCGGGGAAAAACGTAACAAGAAAAGAAGGCAAATGAGAATAAAGTCGACATGAATGTGTAGTCCTTCTATTGATAGAATAATCTTAACAACTTACAGCAGTGCCAGAATTACCGCACTATCAGTCTGCCACCTTAGTAAAGTCATGCTGATGATCATACTGAACAGACTGAAGCCACAAGCAAAGAAAATTATTTCTGAAGAGCAGGCTGGCTTCAGGGCAGGGCGCAAAACAACAAAACAGAACTTGAACCTCAGAATATTGTGCGAGAAATACCTACAACACCAGCAAGACCTATACCACGTCTTTGTCGACTTCAAGGCTTTTGACAGGGTTTGGCAGGCAGACTTTTGGGCCACCATGAGACTGTACAACTTCAATCCCACCTTGACTAAAACCATAGAACACCATTATGACAAGGCCACCAGTGCAGTATACTTTAAGGGCAGCACAGGGGACTCGTTCCGAACTACTGTCGGAGTAAGACAAGGGAAGGATGCTTACCCTCTCCCACTCTTTTCCACATCTTTCTGGAGAGAATGATGATGATGCACTGTAGAACGACTAAGGGACGGTGTGTATTGGCGGCAGGATAGTCACCAACTTGCGTTTTGCTGACGACATTGATGGATACCTTTTCATCTCTATTTTCTTATATGTATGTGAGTCATGGACTCTGACAGCGGAGGTAGAAAAAAAAAATCTGGCCATGGAAACGAGATGCTTCATGTCAGAAAGATCCTTGGCATCTCCTATAAAGACCGCATCACAAGTGAAGAAGTAAGGAACAGAATAAGACGAGCGATTGAGTCATACGAAGACCTGCTGACCACTGTAATGAAAAGAAAATTAAAGTGGTACGGACACATATCAAGATCGTCCGGACTTGCCAAAGCATTCCTGCAAGGAACTGTGCATTGAGTCAGAAAGAGAGGTAGACAAAAAAAGAGATGCAGGCCCGTAGCCAGGTTATTTGAAGGGTGGAGGGAGGGGGGGGGTCTCTTCGCGTGGGTTCCAGAGGCCTGCCTAAGGGCCCCAGTGGGGTCGGGGCAGTTTTTGTGTTTAATGGGTCTATATAATGTTATAAAAGAAGTTATGTTTTGAAAAAGATCTATGTAATAAAAAGGTGGTAATATAATAAAATTAAAAAATATTTCTAGAGTGGATTTCCCGTACGATTAAAAATCGTAACAGTACTGCATCGTGAGTGGATTTCCCGTACGATTAAACATCGTAACGGTACTTGGTTTGGTCTCCAGGAGTTCGTGCTTCGAACAGGTCATTCCATTCATAAAAGAAGCCTTTTCATGGAGAAAGTGTACCTTTTTAGCAAAGGTTTGTTTAGATCGAAAATAACTCCGGCTATATGAAAATTGATTAGAATATTGAAAATGTTATTCGTGTTAATGAATATATAAAGATTACTAGGCCTAATATGTCCATTTTTATTGATCTAATCTACGTGTTTTTGACTTTCATAGTTAATATTTAAACATTTAAAATTATTTATAATTTTATTTAAAATACTATATGAAATAACGTAATCATTAAAATTTATGATAATAATTGATATTTAAATAAAGCAAAAGATTGAAACATGTTAAATACAGACACAAAGTATACATAAACCTATTTCTAGATTACAGAAAATATGTAAATCTGTAGTAAAATGACATAAATTTATATATATATATATACATAGAAATATTATGCGTAAATATGTATTTAGTATAACAAATTAAGTTTAAACGAAAATACGGAAGAAGCAGAGGAAGAGAGAAGAATAGGAAAACATTGAAAATGAACAATAATCATCATTTTATCATTATTGCATCACGTTTTTGTGAAAATAACCCAAAGGACTATCTGTCGTTTTCTTCTTTGCCACAGTGGACGAAAAAAGGTCAGTTATTCTACGAAGTTTCGTAATTCTTTATCACTAAAAATTAACACTCGTTTTGACGCACTCCGTTCTGTTGTGTGTCTGTCTGCTGTTGAAAACAACCTTCCTAATTTTGTGACTGGCTATGATGACTGAGATGGACCATGTTGACTTATTAATAGTATTTTGTTTGGGATGGAAAAAAGGAGTCAATTTCCCAAAAAATGCTCCACCAGCAAATAAGTTAGTGTGCGCTGTGGACAATATGGCTATGGAATTTACTAACCACACAGTCCAGAATCAGGTGATTGAGTCGCAAAACTATAGCTTTGTTTAGTGGAGCCATTTACTCCAGGTAGACGGAGATTTGAGGGGGTTCGCTAGAAAAGGGGGGTTCGCCCGAACCATAAAAAACCCCCCTGGCTACGGGCCTGAGATGGGAAGACAACATCACAGAATAGACACTCTTAAAGCTAAGTGACACACTACGGAAGACGGAGGATTGAGAAGGATGGAAGAAACTGGTTGCTATGTCATCTGCCCCAAAGGTCAACTTGACTATGGGATGACGATGATGTACCTTAACAACATCCTCTAAATTTAAATTTGAATTGCATTCATTATTTCTACATATGGATAAAGTACATTTACACTGTTTGTCCTTGAACATCTGACGTTCAAGGACAAACATTTACACTGTTTGTCCTAGAAAGTCAGAGGGCTTCGTGTAAAGCAAAAACAAAGGGAATTTTTTAAATGTGTAAAAGATAACAAGGTGGATATTTTCTTTGCCCAGGTATCCCATCCTACAGAAACCTTGCTAATAGTTTTGACTTCCTCTGGAAGGGAGACATCTACCCTAGCTTTCAGCAAAGGTGTGTCAATACTGATTAGACAAGGCTTAGACTATAAATGTGTAAAGGAACACAAAGACAAAGATAGTAGATTTATCTTGTTACATATTGACGTTGGGGCACTCAATTTCTACTTATTAATGTTTCCGCACCGAATGACAGCATCGAAGTACATTTTTTAGGAGCCTGCAAAAGCATATCAATAATTTTTGTGATAATCATTTAGAACTTTACACTCTTATGGGTGGCGGTATGAATTGCATACAAGATAAACATTTTGACAAAAAAGGTAGCAAAATGAAAAATGATAATTCAGTTTTTACAGTTGTTTCATGAATATTTTGAAGCTAATTGATTGTTGGAGAACTATTAACAAATACAAAATGCAATTCACATGGCGTCGAAAATCAGCCAATCCCTTTAAAAGGCTTGATTAGGGCTGGGGATATAGTTTCTTGTGATGTCAAACCAGCTATATTTACCGACCATCATGGGGTTTCAATTGTTGTTAGAATATTAGACGAAAAATGCGGCCCAGGATTATGAAAATTTAATTCCAGTTATCTTTATACTGTAGATTTTACTAATAAATTTATTTAAATAATTGGTGACTGCGAAAAGAAAATGGAATTTCTGAGCACATGTGATAAATGAGAAATTATTAAAATTAAGATTAAAACGTATGCAATAATTTTTAGTAAAACAGAAAATAGAAATAAAAATTGTAAAAAAAGAAAAATACAAAAAAATATTAAGCAACTAAATGTTCAGCTAATAATAATAATAATGATAAAATTGAAATTGAAATTAAAACAAAACCTGCTGAGATTGAAAAAAATATACGCCCATGAAGCCGAAGGACAACATTGGTAGAGAAAGGTGAAACAAATTCAAAATACTTCCTTGGGCTTGAAAAAAATAATGGTAAGAAAAAACAAATTAACAAAATTAAAAGATCCAATGGTACATTTGCTCAAACGTTGAGGGAAATTTTGACGGAGGAGGTTCAACATTTTGAGAGATTATATGCTAATCAGAACATCCAATTAAACAATATCCAAGAATATTTAGAATCAACAAAACCCTCAAAATTGACAAATTCTGAAAGGCAATCATGTGAGGGCGAATTGACCCTGATTGAATGTAAACATGGTATACTTTTTGGATTTTTAATGAATTTAAATCTTTACTTAATGATCACTGGGTTAACCTGTAAATTTTCATTCTTGTATTTATAGAAAATAACAATAAAAAACTAATAACAACGAGATTAAAATAATCAATTATACAAGTATTTTTTTCATGAAGTATTTTAGAGAACATCATGTATACATTGTGACAATTATCTTATTTTTATTAAATTTTATAGGCTAAAGAACTTTCGTTCACTGAAACCCTAAACGTCTATTGTTGATGAATCGTGTAAGAAGTTTTGGATGGGTCATATAAGCTAAAAGCTTACCAACCGACCGAAAAACATCAAGCAAGTACACAGTATGAAAACAAATAAAGCACCCGCGACAGACGGTCTCACAGTTGAATTCTATCAACACTTCTGGCCTAATATAGACTCCTCAGTAACCAAAACTCTTAACACGTCCCTGAAGACAGGAACATTATCTAACACAAAAAGAGGCGTTATAAATCTTATTTTTAAGAAAGGCGATGATGATGACTTAAACAATTGGAGGCCCCTTACCCTCCTAAATGTATAATTTAAGATGTGCTAGTATTAACAAAAATGTTAAAAAAAAGTTATATTGAAGGTGGCAAGAATATAAGAATATCGAGGACCTGATGGAATATATGGATACAAACCATCTGGAAAGAGCTATGATTAGCTTAGAGTTTTCTAAAGCCTTTGACACTGTCAACAGAGATTTCCTTGTAAATACACTTACTTTTTTTTAAACTTTGGACTATCATTTATTGGTTGGATAAATCTATTGTATTGTGATACGGAATGCATCATAACTAATAATGGATGGCTTTCAAAGAGTTTAAGAATGCATAGAGGTATTAAACAAGTATGTCCACGTTCTGCTCTGTTGTTTATCATGGCTGCAGAAGTGATGGCTATAAGGCTAAGAAATGATGAATATTAATCAGGGGTATTATATTACCAAGTATTGAAATATAGACAGGCCTACAGTAGGTGAACAAAATAAGATTATCCCTGTATTACGTTGGTGCAATATGAATAACAAACACAGATACAATTGTTTTATAAAAAATAACTGCACTGAGTGCCAAGGAAAGTGGAAAAACTATTTTAATGTAAAAATTGACTGGAGATCAACCTGGGAATGGAAGGTTAAATTAATTAAGGAAAACAAACATAAACAATTATTATTATATTATATTATTATTATTATTATTATTATTTATATATATATATATAATTGTTAGAGGCAAAACTAATTGTATGTATATAATAAACAAATGTTCAATTAAATATTAAAAAAAAGAATTACATGTATAACATTTTGTTAAATAATAAGTACATTTGGCGCCTCATACTTTTTAGAACCATGTGATGGGCTTCTTTTCGAGACGGTGTCTTTTCGAGATTACTTTTGCAAACAAAAAACAGAAGATTTCTTTTCGGTATGAGTTTTTCTTCAACATTAGGCCCAGCGAGGTCTCTGTTTGGCGGTATCACTATGTTTTACAACACAATGGGTCCACCCCCCTCGTCCAACCACACACACACACACCACCACCACCAATTACACATACCATTAAACACAGAAATCATATTCATTTACTTTTTTATTGTATTATGAAAAAAAAAATACCAATGAGTCCATCATACATTTCATATAATATATATTAATTATTGATAATTCTTTTGGGTATTATACATATCAGAATACAATACAGTCTTGCTTCTCCTAACGATGTCATCAATCGAAAACAATTTAAATATACCAACTAAATCATAATATACCATACACAGGAGATTTTATTGACATTCTAAAACTGGGCTAAGCTACAGAATCAAGACTTAAGTACAAATCTTAGTAAAAAAAAATTTAAAAAAAAACCACACAGAACCCACACATCAAATGCAACAATCAAATTATTATTATTATTATTATTTTTTTTAATCTATAGAAGTTTCTTGGTGGAGTACACTTTATTGCACCTGATTGGTCAAAATGAGCAAATAGAACACTAATGGAAACAGAAGAATACGACTTCGGCCGACCATATAAAAAAACGTGTAGACTAAATATTATAATTAATTATACTATTATTTTATTATCATTACTATTATGTTATTAAAACCTGCCTTACGGGGAAATTTGACAATGTACAAATTAGAGAACAATATAGTGAAATAATAATAAATAATAATAACAATAATAATAATAATAATTAATAATAATATAACAATAATATTATTAATAATAATTATTATTATTATTATTATTATTATTATTATTCAATCTTGATAATCTAAAAACATATTGCTTTATATGACGTTTTATATATATTTTTTTGCTATGCCATATGAATGAAACTAGTTACTTTTTCATCAATAAACTCTGAATAAAGAGCACTGGAAGATTGAACTATCCGTGACATTTTTTTTTTACAATGAACGTCAAATTTTCACCATAAAATACTAACGCTTGTCATGTAGTAGACACTTTAAACTGAACTGTGAGGTACGACAGATTAAACACCCTTAGTGGTGGTGCCATTGGGGTTGATGACAGGGCCCTTAGTCAGGGAGAGCTGGCCCCTTGTCAAGCCCACTGACTTACCCCCAACCGGGGACATCACCTCCCTGTCGGGGAAATCCTGGCTTTAACAATGCACACCCTGATCATTTTTTGTTGAAGTGTGCTTGTAAAAAAATTAAGCATGAATAAATGAAATGCTAAATTTCTCAATAACAGAAAAAACTAATAATGAAATGATCTTAATACAACAAGAAGCTTAAAGCTATCAAATTTGTGTAATGTGACCATATATGGGAATAATGATGTCACTTTACACCCAAATATGGGCATATACATTTTAACTTGTCTCATAGAATTTGATGGTGCGGACAAAGCATTATACATAAAGGTACCGATAAAAGCAGTTCCCAATTGATATTTTTGAAAATGAAACCATTGTGGGCCTGCCACTACACAAACCATTATATTTAAATTGTATATACTTAAGAAATAAGAATCACAGATGAAATTAGCAACTGTCATAGCTAATGTTATGAACTGATATCATTTTTTTTAATTGTACTATTCATATTAAATTTATCATATAGATATTTTCATTTTATTGACTTAATAACAAATAAATCAATAAAAATAAAGATGTAATCAGACAACATGGTTTGTTAAATAAAAAATGTAAAAAAAGAAATAGATGCAACGATAATACCAATAACTATGTTTATTGGGTATTTTACAATTGGTGATTTGAATTACATCATATATTGGTGACCTGGTAATTTTTAATCTGTCAAGAATTTTGTATACTGTATGTTGTATGTAGAAGTTCTATACAATTTTTTTGTATTAAAATATTATTAATATTAGATGTAATGATAATACCAAAACTATGTTTATTAGCTATTTTACAATTGGTGATTTGAATTACAGTATATATTGGTGACCTGGTATTTTTTTTTATCTGTCTAGAAGTTTGTATACTGTATGTTGTATGTAGAGGTTCTATACCATTTTTTTGTATTAAAATATTATTAATATTAGATGTAATGATAATACCAAAACTATGTTTATTGGATATTTTACAATTGGTGATTTGAATTACAGTATATATTGGTGACCTGGTATTTTTTTTATCTGTCTAGAAGTTTGTATACTGTATGTTGTATGTAGAGGTTCTATACAATTTTTTTACAAGTTTCTATAAAAAAAAACCAAAAAAAAAAAAAACTAAACTAAAAAACAAAAAAAAAACCAAAAAAAAAAAAACCCAATTATTTTACTGATTTAAAATGACTTAAATCCAACTACAAGGTTTACTTACCACCTCGGAGTTATTTTACTTCATTCAGTACGCGACAAATTTATGTAAGAATGTCTACCAATATAATCATAAAAGAAATAGTATAAATCATAATTAAAAAGCAATAGTTTTCTATTTAGAAACCCAACCGAACTAGCCTATGTACAGTACACATCCCCTACAGAACATTTCAATATGTAATCAAAATAGAGCATCAAAAAAATATTTTCTGGAAAACGTTAAGGTACACAATTTATTTGCAATTATGAAAGGAATGTTAATATATATAATCACTATATAATAAAGTATATACAGCATCCTGTAGTAATTGCACCAATGATTTCTGAAGCCTTGAATATCTCCACTTAAACACAAATTTAAAAAAAGCACATTTTTAAAAAGCTATTACAGTTCTTAAATGCCTTATTTAAGAGTCACATAGTCCAGTGATGTCTTATTACAGTATTTATAAAGGTTTTTGTGATTTAAAATAAGTTTAGGTAGTCATTCCATTTCCTGAATTTTACCTCTGAAGTACTGTAGCGCTATTGTTGTGAACTTATAATTTGCTTCTCTTGTCGCTGTAAAATCTATAGCAGAAATTTCTAGAAACATTTTCAAAGCCATAAATAGCTGGCTTGAGTGTGCCAAGTGATATGGACTAAATTTTGTTTACTTCAGCCCAAACCATGGTGGGGCTGAGGTGGGTGGATCACCTGTCGAGGAAATACTAACACCACCGCTGTGTATTTGTATCTATTAAAATACTGTTCAATGGTCCTTGAGAATCCAAAATGGACGGGAAAAAACACCAACAACCGAGGTTTAACACTACACCATTTCCAACAGTTTAACAAGACAAGCCAGATTATAAACCTTATCATGCATCTAGCCAGGCCTGTTAGTTAGAAGGTGTCTGTGGTTTAGTTGAGCCTCTATTTAAACTACAAAACCCCTTTGATTATACCTAAACTACCCTCAAACAAAGAAATGATAATTATGAAATTCCAAATATACAAGTTTGAATGCTTAAGCTTCATGGGACTTTGTCCTCTGAACCCCCCAAGTTCTATTCCAAAACTGCAACAAAGCATGGCAGCCCTTGAACCTCCGACTCTTATAAAGTAGAACCGTCTTTATAAATTCAGGTGACACACCTGCCGTGCTACAATAAATAAATATACATTGGTGCATAATAAATGTTATGATACTATTATTTGGAAATTTGATGAATTTACAGTGTTTTCAGGTTTGTAAGCAATGTGGTCCACATGTGTATGGAAGGTATAAAAAAAAATACACGACTTTCTTTATACCTTGTTTAGCGAACAAACCGCCCGCCAATAATGATTTCAAATAAATATAAAATTTTATTTTTGGCCAATTAGCACAATCGCTGTCATGAAAAAATAGTAATTTCAGAAAAAAAATAAAAGGTTTCCTTTATTTTTTTCACTGTAAAGATGTCGGTAAAACTAGTTATGCTAGCACACTTTTAGAAGTTCATAATTGGTCTAGCTGGCTAAAATCTAACACAATATTGTAAATTGACAAATTAATTACTGTATCATAAATGTATACCCGTCTTCAATGCATAACATTCCCTGTAAGTTATTTGATACTGATAAGCAAAAAGATATGCTGTAAAATCAATGTCAAATTAAAAATTTTCTTTAACATTTAAACATAATCACAATCATACATAATATATTAATATACACATAATACGTTTTAGGCGTACTGTATGTTTTGTCTGAAGCACTCAAATGTCACACGTTACAACTATTTGGTCATGTGAATTTTAGTAGAACATTTCATAGTATTGTCATAAATTAATAATACAGCATAATGTTTAGAAATAAAAGAAGTCAACAAATGAAATAATAAAACATTCTGTATACATGAAATGATACGATGGAAAAAATGGACATTACAACAAAATCAATAATTTAGAATTTTTGGGGAGTTTATAGTGGATTGGGTAAAACAGTTTTCTCAGTGGTCCTAATTCTGAAAGAACAATAGCAACAGGCCTTTTCCGCTAAGCCCCACGCATTGAATAAAGCAGCAAAGGCCTCACAAAAAAAAACATGTGCGGAACAACATGCATGTTTGTGAGACACCCCTGTATTACTGGCGCTGTTCTGATTGGTAAGTTAAGTTTGATTGACAAACTCCTATGATTATTCCAATAATAGTATTAAGGAACTGCCAAAAATAAAATAATATTTGAAAAATAATGATGACATAGTTAATGTCAAAATATTGAATCCCGACACGAAGGCGTGCATTTCGATACTTGGAGTACGTATTATACTATCTTATCTGAGATTAATCAGTGGACTTTTCGATATATTTGAAAAAAGTTATGAAATTTGGCATTATAAGACGTTTTAATGAATTACTGATATAAAAAATCTCAAGTTGCTGAAAAAAAAAATGTATGAGTATATAAAAGGATTTTATAGTAAATTTTTAATTTATTTTTTTGTTGTCTGTTTCTTTTATGTACTGTAATTTGTATTATGTATTTTATGTCCAGTAGCTTTGAATTTATATGCCAAAATAATAAGTGTAGAAGAGTCTCCCAGACAAGCTAAAGTTAAATAGGCCAATAAACTGCTTGAATAACAAGGTGTTGATGTGGATTAATTTGTGCCCTCTGTTGGTTAAAATCTGGATTACAGTAGTTGTTTTAAAAAAAAAGTAGCACACTTTGTGTTAACTCTATGCTTTAAAGGCTTGTTTATAAATTTGCATTCATATTAAAAAATTTAAATGATGACAATGGATTGATATAACGCTTGTGTGTTTATTTAAGTACACAATGCATAATTATTTAACCAATGATAACAATTTTGGAGGACTGTGACTCTGGCAGATAAGATTATATCCCAGCTAACAATATTACGTCATAATAATGTTATAACAACGTTACAGTTTGGTGAATATATGCCTTGATTTGAGATATTGTGCAAATTTTCTATTTTTATAACTGTTTTATACAATCAAGTCATGAATTTTAGATAGGCCTATTCTCAATTGTTTATAGTTTGGCTGTTATTTTATTGTATTCTTAATGTAAAGCGCCTTTGAACATGATTATTCATGAAAAGGGCACTATAGAAATTTGGTAAATAAATAAATAAAATAGAACCATATGTACGTACTACTATTAAACCTAATTTTACAACGTTTGCACATTCTTACAATGCTGTGTGAATGCTATTTTGTGATATACATAACCACAACGTTCGCGAACGTTCTAAGAACGTTTTGTGTTTGCTGGGATGGTTGTTTTAAACAAATTTGACAAAAGAACAAATGTGTCATGCCAAATTATGGTTGTGATGACATCACGTCATGACCATATATAGACACATCATGACTATATATGGACATACAATAGTCTTTGTCATATAAATTTGATTGTCTGACAAGGCTTAAAGTACTTCATGAAAACCTGTTCACATATTGTCTGGCAAACTTAAAAGGAATTCTGTCACAAAAAAAAAAGATACCCCCGAAGCTCAAGCACATGTGATGTGCCTGTATATGGGAAATGATCCTTATATGGATGTGGTAAGACATCATCATGCCCATATATGGAATATTCACACAAATTGTTCACATAAAATTTGATATTGTAGATAATGTATCTTTTAACCCTAAGCATTCAAAGTTTTTTTAAGAAATAATAATACAAAAATATATTAAAATTAAACTAAAAATAATGCAAATTACTGTCAGTTTTAATGTAATTTTATCATATCGAATTTAAAAACTAGTATGCAAGAATTTGCTAAAAAAAACCTGTACTTATATACTCTATTTCAAAGTTATTAATAATAAATAATAATAAAAATTGTTTTTGACACTTGATCAATATTACAAATAATAAAAAATTATATTAATATTGTAAAAATAATAAAATAAATAATAATATAATTAATTTTGACAACAGTGTACTATTGGCAATTTGGGAAGTTTGGCTATAATAACCTGGAATATCTGGTTCATTTCTTTTTGCTAAACATGGAAGTCATTTTGGAACGTGAAGCTGATGACTTGTCCTTGAGGGCGCCAAGACGGTTAAATATCTTACTCTTCGCATCTTCACCAATGTTCGCAACAGAGTCACCCAAGCTTGCTAAACTTGCACCACTTGGGGCTCTGAAATAAAGTAAGAGAATTATAAATTAATTCTAGTTACACATTCATAGTTGGATCATTTCATTAAAAATCACCCAATTTTTAGAATAAGTTCTTAATTGTCAATCTTGTGTATCCTGATGAGACTTAACATTTTCAGTTATTGGGAATAATTTAGTCCAAATTGGTTTAAAAATGGTGGCCCTTTAAAAATATGGATCGATGCATGCCTGTTTTATTATTATTATTTATACTTGTAGATTTTTTTTTTAACTCGTATCAGAAAGTAGTAAGGAAATTGGAAATAAATTAGGACAAACATTTGATTTGACATGCTTTACATTTAAAAGTGACTTGAGTTTACTGGTATTTTTCAGAGCAGATTCTGGAAGTAGTAGAAGGGGTCACATAAAAAAGATATTTGCAGGTGCATGTTTCTCTTTTAAAGCAAAATATAATATGGAGTGCCATTATATATAAAAAGTACTGTATTGTTAAATATCTTACCTTTCTCTGCCTGAAATTTTACTTTCGAGGTCTTTAATCATTGATGTCACAACAACCTAAAGATAAAGAAACAAAGCCAAATATGATAAGAAATCAAGATGACAATAAAAAGTAAATTAAATGTATTTATTTATCAACATCTCATCCTCAAACAAAGGCCAGCCATACCTGGCTTATGAGAGACAAAACATAATAGTACAAAGTGTAAACTGCAAAATATATAAGTGCTAATTAAGGTTTAAAAAAAAAAACCCTTTATGTTTTTTCCAAAATCATATAAGCAAATTTAGCATTACATAAAAACAAAAGTTAACATTACAGAACATATACGTAGATTTTTGTATCTGAGGTAAGTTGGAAAATAATGGATTGATATTATTAATCTTATTAAACAAATGAGAACGTAGTGCATCGTAAAATACACAAATCATAAAAAATTAAATTCATCTTCAATTAAATTAGGGTCGCAAAGTGGGCAAATTCTTTGGTCTGTGCAATTACCATTGCATAGAGATAATGAAAACACATGTCTGCTGCACACCACAATCAAATAAAAAAGAAACATATTTAATACATCTATATTTGGGTGTAATATGACATCATCATACATGGGCACATCACTGACGCATATACTCTGTCAGTTTATACTTTATTCAGAATCAGATTCACACAAATTTGTCACATACAATTTTATAGTGTCGACATACTTTTTTAGACATTTTGACCTCACAAACACACGTTGTCCCACTAATGCATTTGTATGTACTTTTGGGCTGCCCTTTTGTGGCCTTACACTCAATATCCAAGGGTCGGGGCTATGTGGGAAGGTCTGTTACCTCATGTTCAGGTGAGAGCGCCTCTAAGTCTTGCCGTAAGCACCGTAACCCTGGAAGCATCGCATCCCGAATCTGAACCTCAGATATGACTAACAGACAGTCAAGGAAGTACACACAAGAATTGCAACAATTATATATATGGCAAAGACAAGCCAAACCAGTCACTCATCACAAATCCTGTTTCGGAGATAATGGCCAAAATGGTCATGCTATGCTGTTATTTTCCCCATTTCAATGTTAAAACAATAGTTTTTTTACAATTTGGTGATGGTTTCTGCCTAAGAAATATCCGAAATCTTAAACTTTGAAAGCTTGATTTCTCAAATATTGTTCTTTAAAAAGCTGTATGTTTAAACTCCTGTAACTTTATAATAAATGTCGATTGAAATGATTCTTTTACCACTTCATAGATCTGATTTTACTGTTTAACCCTTTATGAATAACTAAAAATCCATTTTTGCAATGGGTGACTAGTTTGGCTTGTCTTTGTCACATATGTTGTTTGCTTTGTTATGTAGATTGCCATTGTTTTGTATTTATGCATGAATCTTTATTTATTTATTTTTTTTTTTTGTTTCTTCTGCTTTCAAATTTTGTGTCACTGGTCTTAGATCCCTTTAATCTTTAAATAATTAGTGTTATTTAGTGATTTGACTGGATGCTTTCTTAATATTTCTATCATTCTGTGCATTTGAACCTTTTATTATGGAATTTGTGAATAATAAATTACTAAGTTATTTGTATTATTGTTATTATTATTATATTAACAAAAATCCAGTACATTAACTGAAAAATCACAAAAGATATTTAAGTTGCTGTTAATATAATTAGTATTTACATAAAATTAACTAGTAAGTTTTACTAGTCAATTATGGCCAAATGTACTCTTGCAAGAGACGCCAAAAACTCAAGTAAGAACAATGCATACTGTAGTAAAATTAGTAACATTTAAGTCTCAAACACTGAAATCTAATTAAAATACTGAATGAAATAATTTGAAAGTTTTACTAGCATGACAAAAAAAGGATACAGCAACAAGAGAGGGCACTGTAGGCCTCGAAGAGCCCCATAGCTACCTCTGATTGCCTATTACGACTTGAAGTGTTATTGTTGGTGTGTGCGATTGCTGCAAGTCGAGGAAGTATAACTGAAAATAAAATACAGGAATAAATAAGCAATTTAAATTATATTTCTAAATATCATATCACTGTGCCATTTTTAATTTGAGAAAATAAGGGAAATGCATGAATATTTAAAAAATTGCTAAAAATAAAAAATAGATGAAAATGTTCATGTCTTACACTCATCTCTGAACTTTGGTTCTGCATTTGGACCAACAACACCAAATATACGAATGATCTCAACCAACATGGAGAGTTCATCTTTATACTGAGGGTCATCTAGGAAATGCTGTAATTGTAGGTAAACTCGATCTAATGTCTAAAAGGCAAAAAGAAAAGCGAATTACAGTAATACAATTCTACAAGTCTATACAAGTCATTAAGGATTTGCATGATTACTGGATTGCCAGGCATTATTAATTTTATCCCAAATATTTAAAACAAAAGGCGGTGTGGGAAGAAACTGGTCACAAGTACTAACTGCCTAAAAGTACAATGTCTACTAACATCTAATACCCCAGGTTCATTAATGAATATGGGACTCCTTTACTTTTAACAAATAACACTTCTTGGCACTTACTACTCATAATTGTGTGTAGTAACTGAATACTGTAATGAAAAGTAAATCTGTTAATCTTCATATCAACACCTAAAAACATAGGCAATTGTATGAAAATCCTAAAAGTGGTAAGTAATAAGCTAATGTGTAGTATATGATGGATTCTATAAATACCTCCTTCTGAGATGTACTCTCTATAATTGCACCAAATGCTGGAACAGTTGCGATCCTCACAGTCCTATTAAAAAATAATATAATGAGCTTTAGAAGTATAAAGGTTGTGAAACTTCCTGATGCTTAATCAGACTTGAAAAAAACTTTTTTTTTTAGTCTGGACACATTGTCAAAACTAAAATTCCATGCTATTATAAGTTATATCTTAAAAGCTGTCTAAACATAAAATAAGCAAAAACCATTATTCTAATTTATAACAACACATCAGGAAGGCCAAAATATCACGCCCATCATACATTTATAAATGTTCTTATTTTATTTTGTTGTATTTAGAGAAAATGTTGCTGTTCTAAAATAATTTGTTCAATCATGCTTTATTATGAAGATAAAAAAGCAATTGGATATACGAGAAAGAGGGGAAAAAAAACAGGAAAGAGAAAGTAGAAAGAAATGTAATGTTGTTGGATTTAGCACTTATATACCGAAGTCTAAAAGTGTGTGAGGAGGGGACTAGTTTGTGCATTAACTTGTTTCTCCCCTAAGGGCGCTACCATGCCTGAGCTACCCGGTAAACCAGCACCAGCTCTCCCCGAAAGGGGGCCCTTTCCCGCCCCCAACCCTCCAACTGCGCCACCTCTGGCTACTCTCGCCTGTCCACAAAAAAAAAAAAAATAAAAATAAACACTAACATTAAGAAGAACTGACACCTTCAATTATTGGTAGAAATTTTTCTTACATTTCATCATCTCCTGCAAGGGTAATGAGTGCTGGAACAATACGAGATGACACTAATCCTTCGTGAATGTTCTTAGAAAGCAACGTAAACATATTCGCTGTTGTGATTCGCACACGTGCTGACGAGTCTACTACTCCATTCCACAGTACTGTTAAAAGCAGTTCATGGTAAATAGGGTTGTGACTATGGAAAAAAAAAACAGTATTAAAAATATGCAAAGATATTTAAGATGCAAAATAACACCATAATTAATATGCACACATGATGCCAATTTCATTTAAATACGTTTTGCACATTGTGATTGGGATGTCATAATTATTACTACAATTGCAAATGTGGCAAAGACAAGTCAAACGAATCACTGCTCGCAAATCGTGTTTCAGAGACCAAAACATGTTGCAATGATAACAAATTTTTGAAATCTATTTTATTGCACTAAATTAAACTTTATATATCTATACGTCATCCTATCTTAATATTTTCCCAATTTTCGACATTAAAACAACATTTTTCAATGATTTAACGATGGTTTCTGCCTGAGAAGTGGCCAAAAACGTAAACTTTGAAGGCTGATTTCTCAAATACTGTTCTTTAAACATCTGTGGCAAAGACAAGCCAAACCAGTCACTCGTCGGAAAAATCAGTTTTTAGTTATTAATACAGGGTTTAACAGTAAAATGAGAGCTACAAAATGGTAAAAGAATCATTTAAATCCGACACTTCATTATGAAGTTACACGAGTTTAAACATACAGCTGTTTAAAGAACAATATTTGAGATCAGCCTTCAAAGTTTACGATTTCAGGCATTTCTTAGGCAGAAACCATCACCAAATCGTTAAAAATTGTTGTTTTAACATTGAAAATGTGGAAAATAACAGCATAGCATGATGTATAGATATATAAAGTTAGTTTAGTGCATTAAAATAGATTTCCAAAATTTTGACATTCCAGCATGTTTTGGCCATTATCTCCAAAACAGGATTTGCGACGAGTGACTGGTTTGGCTTGTCTTTGCCACATTCTTTTTGTTTAAAGTCTTGCAACTTCATTAACGAAATGTCAGATTTAAATGATTCTTTTACCATTTTATACCTTTATACTATATTGTATTAATAATAAAAATTGAAAACATAATGTAAACATTAATTAAAACAATAATATTAAGACGAAGAATTTATTAAAACAATAAAGATTTATAAAAAAATGATATAAAATGTACACAAACAAATATAATAAAACAATAACATCAATATTATAAATAATATTAATATAAAAAAAGTAATACAAGACAAGTCAAACAACTCACGATAGAACATTTTAAACAGGTATTACAAGATTAATACATCCTAAATGATTACATAAGTTAGTGGGACTCTTACTGTAGTTCTGCAAAAGACAGCTGAATGCTATCCATAGACGCATGGTTCACGGCAAGAGTGGCTATTGTGTCCTGAAGGAATGTGGCAAGTTGTTTACGATCGTCGTCGGTATTGTAACAAGAAAGAACACCGGAGACGTACACAGGGACTATGGCTTTGGTTAATGCTGACTGACCGGATTTAATTAATGTATCTGGAACGAAAGGTACAAGTATTTTAAACGAAATCTCATTGGTCTACTTCGTCCAACGTACTTTACAAAAATAATGTCCAGTCAAAAATCAAAAGAGTTTTATATAATGACACAAAATGTTTTTGTTGTTTTGTCAAATCATATTGGCATTAAAAAATCAGGATCAATCAGTTTGTTATTTCATGGAGGTTCAGTAGATATTTTTATGCTACCAAAAGTATAGTACAGTAGATTATAATCTGTAAACTACAGAGTTTTTTTATGAAAGTTTAATTACCTGATTCTATGTTGATATGTGCCAAAGAGACCAAGTGTTTACCACTGTTTATTGGCAAACCACGGTATTTGTACAACAATTTTCTTTTTCCTGACCAATACTGGGTTCATCATCAAAAGGCACTTACCCTACAATTTTTTTTTTTTTTTTTTTTGGTAAACTACAAGCCTAAAATCATGTTTCATGATTATGAAAGCTTTAAAAAAGTGGGGTTTTTTCCTATCTCCATACAAGTATTTTTCTTTTCTTGTAGGTAAAAAACATATATTTGCAAAATATAAAAGCCAACCTTAGACTATAAAGATGTTGGCTTGGTTTTGGTTGATCTTGTAACACATTTGTTTTTTAGCTCCGATGAGGAGCTCTAGAAACACTTGGCTGATTGATTTATAGATCTTTTTTAGATCTACTGCCTCTATACTGCCCTCGTGAGGCTGACTGATTAATAGACCTTTTTTAAGCTCTACTAAACTGCCCTCATGAGGAGCTCTAGAAACACTCAGCCGATTGATTTAATTAATAGATATTTTTAAACTCTACCGGCTCCATTATACTGCCCTCATCAGAGTTTTAAAGAATACAAGAACTTCTTTTTTTTTAGTTCATGTGAATAAAACCTCAACATACAGAATACATACCATATTGCTCATCTGGTACATTTAGCATTGCTTGAAACTTGGGTTTGAGCTATAAACACAATACAGTACATACAGGTATTAAAATGTGATTAAATTTCAGGGGTTACAAGTTTCCCGGTAGTCGCAGATATCTTGGAAATCGGGGTAGCCTCCCATAACCATAACAATAACCCATCTCCCATGAATTTGTGTTCATGGATGTTTTAACTACTTTAATATCAATCGTCATCAATTGGAATCAGGCGATAGCTACAGTATGACAAGGTGCAGTAAAAAATAAAATTATCTATTACTAGATCCCTAAGAAGGGATTTCTACTAACTTGAGACTCCTGTAATCACAATATATTGTAAAGGCAAGCCAAATCAGTCACTAGTCATAAAAATCGATTTTTAATTATTAGTACAGAGTTAAACAGTAAAATAAGAGCTGTAAAATGGTTTAAAAAAAATACTTAAAATCCGACATTTCGTTATGAAGTTACATGATTATAAACATACAGCTGTCTAAAGAACAATATTTGAGAAATCAGCCTTTAAAGTTTATGATTTTTGGCATTTCTATAGGCAGAAACCATCACCAAATAATTAAAAATCGATTTCAAAAATTTTGACATTCCAGCATGTTTTGGCCATTATATATGAAACAGGATTTGCGAATAGTGACTGATTTGCTTGATTTTGCCACATATGTCCATTACATACATACAAAGATCTGGTGCCAGGCAAAGTGCAAGAAATGTACAACGGCTTTGTATATAAGTATTAGAGTAATATAATTATGTTTATAAATATATGAAAAAAAAGATCCATTGCTACTTGGGTAGGAGCTTCCATCTATATTTAAAAAGTAAAATGCTAATAAAGTGTATGGCTATTAACAAGAAAAGACTTACCCTTGTTTCTGTGAAACTTTTGCCAAAAGTCTTAGAAAGGCTATGTATAACTTTTGAAAGAGCTTTTATACTATCAACATAAAACATTTCTAGATTGCAGCTAACCTCTAGTAGCCTTGGTAAACTAAAAAGTAAAAACAAAAAATAAACATATAAAACAATTACCCACATAAATCCAATCAATTAATCTTAATCAATTATACTTTAAAGCATACAGTATATCAAATTTCATGGTCTTAATATAAATTAAATTTAATCTTTCAAGGATTTTTGCAGCTTTACATATGGCGTATTCGATTGGAACTTATCCGTTGAGTATGTTAGCAATGTTAAGTACAAACTCAGCAAAAAAGTTAGCGTTATTTAACCAATCTAATACGAAAAGTACTAGTTTTTCTGTTGAGCATGAGCTTTCCTATTTTAATACCACAACCTTCTGTTCACACTATCAAATTATGTCCATATTTGGATGTAATATGACATCATCATGCCCATACATGGGCATGACATAAATTTGTCGCATTAAAATTTATAGTGCGGACTAACCTTTAGAAAGCAAGACAAACAAAATTTTGATTTAAAGTAAAATGTATTCAAATAAACTGAAATTTACAATTGAATAATTATAAATGAATATTAATGAATGAATAATGAATCAATGAATAAATTAATGAATGACTAAAGAATGAGTTGATAAATGTAGTAAACATGCTTTAGAAAGCAAGACAAACAAAATTTTGATGTAAAGTAAAATTCATTGAAATAAACTGAAATTTACAATAGAATAATTATAAATGAATAAATGAATGAATAATGATTCAATGAATGAATGAATTAATGAATGACTAAAGAATGAGTTAATAAATGCTTCATAAGACTCCTCAAAAGAACACAAATGACTCTTCAAGTGCAGGCCAAAATTAACGTTTACAATTTATCTAATTTCACAAGCTTTAATTCTTTTATTATTTTAACAATTTTAAAAATTTTATGATCAAGATGTTAATGTTTTTTTTTTTTGTTTTTTTTTTTTCTGGTTTATGTACAAAAATGTACATTGCACATTTTTATAAATTGTGAATATTTTTTTTTTGCCTTTTTGAACTGGGCCATGTGGGAGAACAGTAGATATGGTACTGAACAGATTTTCCCAGAATATAGAATAAAGAAATAATGTAAAAAATTCCCACAAATCCAAAACTAATGTGAACTGAATACCAGTCGATAGTTTATTAATTATTCATATGGATAATGCCAATGATATTTTATTTGAGAATAAAAAGCATTCAATTTGAATGTGGGATTGGAAAGCTATTTTCCATTATCACCAAATGACAATTTCCATCAACTTTAATGTACTACTACACTAATCACTGATATAGACATTTCAAGAAGCTGACAAACAACAATCTTACTATTCCTTTAGCACCCAGCTATACACGTCCCATTCCTCATGATTGCTCTGTCCTATGTGACTTTCAAATGCCCCCACGTGGGCCGCCAGCAGCTCACGATTTCCAACTAAAACAGAAAGATCTAAAAGTCCAGAATAAGCCTTTGGGAACCTAGTAACTGTAAACAGAAAAAAAAAATACAAAATACAAGTTAAATAGCATTAAATGTTTTTTTTTTCCCCTTCATGGTTTCAACAGATAATCTTGTGTCCCCCTCTTGACGAAGCAATTGTTAACAGGAAGATCAGATCTGAGGTGACATTATGGAAAGTATGTGCAACATCAACTTAAAGGCAGATATGTTAACACCATTCAGTTATTGGTTTCTACTACATTGTCTATTACCTGTCTCTTATACACATCTAGATGTGTATAAGAGACAGGTGTAAACTCATGTACAATACAGCCAAACTTCCGAACAGAAAGTAGTATAAAGACGAACTTAAGAGCAACAAAAATACATTTAATAGAACCAGACATGTTTCTTCGTATTCAATACAACATCTTCAGTGTAACAAAACAAAAAACCGAATTCAGGTTATGCCCTAGGCCTATATATATGGAGCTTCCCCTTCCACCCACCACAACTACTTGCCGTTAATATGGGTTTTCCCCCATACCTTCTAATGGTACAGCCCCTTCAACATCAAGTCCTTGAGTGAATGGACCAGACCGGAGGACGGCTGCAAATAATAAAGGCGTCAGGGTTTGCAAAGTCTGACAATACAGGTGGACACACTGCACATCCCCGGTGTTGTCCGCTGAGGAACTGCTTTTTAATTTCTGCAAGAGAAGATACTCAATTAGTATATTATTATTCTTTATTTAGCCACATGTGCTTTAGAAAGTGCCAATAAGAAACTTCAACTCAACTCCCTGGGTAATGTCTAGTCTAAGAGCATCACTAGATAATGAGGCTTAGGGTGTGGATTTAATTGCAAGAAAACAATTTTGTATTAACAAGTTGCAACATTTTTTTTCTCTAATAATTAATGAAATTGATTGGAATTCAAGAATCTTAACCACAAAGCACAGAACCACTTCAAAATAATATTTTAAATCATTTTTTTCCCCTTTTTTTTTTCTTTACTTACTGCAGTTAAACATTGATTTACTTTTTTGATATCGTTATTAATTTGATCAATGTTATCATGTATTTTGTTAATTGTTATTAATATGTTATTGTTGATATATTTACTGGGTTCATAGCTTGACGTTCATTGAACTTACAATGAACTCCATCTGCACAGGCATTGTATCATACTTTCAGCTTTATGTTTATAATCATAGAATGAAAAGAGAATTTTTATCCTTGATATTATGTACTTTTGAATACTGTCAGTGTTATGTTATAATATTACCTGTTAATTTTATTAAGAATGAAATGTATTTTGAAATATATTATTTATGTGTGGAAAAGCTGAAATAAACAAACAAACATAATGATTTACACAAATTTAACAAGCATATCTCAAGCATATCTCAAGGCTTTCACAAACTATATAGCAGTACATGTAGAAGTTTAACTTTTTATAGTTAAGCCTTGTTTTCTGTTAAAGGGCCAATCGGCAGTGATTAACCCTTTCCAGTCTGCCCCATTACCATTGCCTGAGGCTGTACCAAAGCTGGGAAATTACATCATCTACACTAAATGTTGGGTTTTTACTGGGCGCAGGCATTTTATTTGGTCTAAATACAGGAGGCCCTCTACAGAAATACTTCTACAACACACTAAAAAAAACCTATAGAGGGCAGCCTAGCTATAAAATAATTATCATGAAAGCTATACAAGGCGTACGTACGACGCCCCTCGCTATAAAGTATGGTCGAAGAGGGCATCGTCGCGACGCCATACAACTGGAAAGGTTTATAGTTTACATTTGGGGTGTTCCTGTCTCAAATTCTTTGCTGTTTCTGTTTTAGTAAATTTTAATGTTTTGAGACAAATAAATGAAATGAAATAAAGTAATTACTAGATTGATATGATCTTAAGTAACATAAAACAGAAAATTGCGGTAATTGCAAAATGCAACAGTAATCTAGTTAAGTTTAAAAAAACATAAATATTTCACACTAATTTTCAAAAGCCAGACTAGTATGTGTCTAGGTATTCAGATTACACACATAATTATACTGATAATGATGTCTAAATCATTGCATCAAAATATGTCCAGTAAAGTCAGGAATGATATATTTTAATCCAAACTATCAAACAACAACCACCAAACAAATGTCGTGGTTTGGGAAGAGGAAAAATATACAGTTTAAACAGGTCATCTATTCTTTACCTTGACTGCTTCTTCAAGTTTTTTTAACAACTGTCCAAGTACTTGTTCTTCTAGCCGACCAAGCTCCAAAGCCCAGTAGGTAAAAGATGGTAATAGAACTTTTAACGTTGTCTCGACCACTGCTTCTGAGCTGTCATGCAGGCCTCTTGACAGGAGCTCCCAGCCTAGGTTGTACTTATCTTGGTCATCAACCCAAGTGAGCACAACGCCTAGACTCTTGATGACTGCCTGACGAACTTCATTGGCTTTGTCATCCAACATCATTTGAAGCATGGACAGCAGAAGAGAACTACGTATTTCTTTCTGTGAACAAAAAAAAATGCTTTAAAACAAATAAAGATTTCTGTGCACTTGGTCGCAAATGCTTGTGTTCTTAGACTAGACAATATAATGTTTTAGATAATAATCAACTCAACATTTACAATTCATGCAAGTGCCATAGCCATGGAGTATTGTTACAATATGCCATCTTAGGCTACAATTGTCATAAAATTATGTAGTTCAGGCATACAATGTAATACAATTTTAGAAGAATGCAGAGTAATTATTTTATTGTTTGTTGGGCAGAAGTAAATACTTTTGAAGATCTCTGAGATCACTATACAAATACCAGATATTATTACAAAAATATGTATAACAAAAATAATATATTTTACATTATGAATACATACTAAGTATTTTATATTACACAATTGGGAGGAAAGTACTTTACAACACAATAACAATTTAGTAATTATAAAAAAGTAAGCACCATTTCAATTTAACAGTAAACTAGGGAGTCACTATTGAAAAAAAAAATATCCCTCAGGGTAGCACTTACAGTAAGATGGGGGGTCAGCACACCGCATGATTCTGCAACTAATAGTCTCCGCTCAGGGTACTTATGACTAATTTCTTCCCAGCACTGTGGTAATAATTCTTCTTCTAATCGAGCTGGGCCAACATGTTGGGCAAAAGCCACACATCCACGAAGAATCATTTGCCTGCACGAAACAAATGTTTGCAGATGATTATCGGTCTTTTTCATTAATCACTAGATGTCCTTAGAAGCAAAGCAATTTAATATACTGCCTAATACAGAACCATTATGCTCATTAAGGGAGATAACTAATCATCCACTTTAATTCAATTATAGTCCATAAGAGTAGCAATGCAAAATCTTTATATTACATCAATATCGTTCCTTATACAGCGGTGCAATAGTTCATTTTGAGCAATCAGCAAGGAATGTTTAACTATAGCTATACCCCATGGATATTGTTATAAGTCCTACAAAATTACAACATCTGTATATTTTGAAAGACAACATTTACGTGTGTGGGACGTAAATATTCTTAGCCCTTTTCTAAATAGTTTGTTGTTAACTTTGATTGACAATCCCAGTGGCGAATCCAGGAATTCAAAATAGAGGGGGCTTGGGGAGATACTTTCACAGATGGAGGATCTATACCACCTAGGGTAACAAAATTGTGATTATCGCAAATCCAGATTGGCGGAAATTGCACTCTCAGACTTAAAATTTGAATATATTGTAATTTTCTTTATATCTCAATTTTTAATTTTTATTTTGAACAATTGGGGGGGGGGGGTGGTGGAGGCAGCCGGCTGGGTCCCACTCCTTTGAATCCACCACTGAATCTGCAGGTCTTATAAATTCTTTTGTGATGTACATAGTCCTATCTAATTTAATGTTATTTATTATTTATTTATCCTGTAAAGAATAGGTTCTAAAATAAAGTGTTGCAATGATAAAAAAAAAAAAACATCAAGGCACGGTATTATGTAATCTTGATTAAATTATTCGAAGGTTCTTTAATTCAGTATTCTGTGAACTGAACATCTACTTATCTTTTAGGAATTAGAAAATCAATGAGATTCCACTCAAACCATGATATTTGATTAAAAAAGGAAGCCTTACAACTGCACTGTGCATTCAAGTTACAAAGTCAACAACATCTAATTAATTACGTTCAAGGTAAAATCCAAGTATTATACCAATGACCGAATTGCCATCTGATAAAAAAACTGATTAAAAACAGCACCAACAATAATATGTTCCAAAATATTTATTTAATTTTATAATCAAATTCTGTGAAAGTATGTATAGCTTTACATATTGAAACTGTACCCATCTAATTCTAGATATTTGGTAATACAATAATAGCCATTTGACATTTACTGTAAGCTGGCATTATAAGACAGTTTATTGTGAAAAGAGACCTGTACGTGCATAAAGCAAAGGACCAAACACAGACTATGTAAAACTGAATGCTACTTAAAATTTTCAAATTAAATATTATGAGTGAAAGTTTCTGTGATACTTTCATAATGCCACCTTTAAAATAGTTGCAATAACTTTAAAAAAAGAATATCTTTCAAATTATGCAGATATAAATATAATTTAAATCACATGTTCTATACCGTTTATTTGATAAATTTTAAAAAGAAACATATCTGATATGAGATACACTTTTTGCATGTTTATTTATATATATTTATTTAAAAAAATTTTATTTTATATATATTATATTCTCTTTTGTAAGTTTTTTAACTTCTAATCTGATTCCTAAATCGTAATTTATAGCTATTAATTGTTTACTTTCACATGAATATCGATTTGAAATAAATGTTACTGAACTTTATTATTGTTACTGAAGTTTATTTCTTCTTGAAAATGAGGTGCATCTACTCATATTCAGGTTCTCCAAAAAAAAAAAATTTACACAGTATCAGTGGCGATGCTTACTATAGAATTTTTGAAACACATATGCCTAGATATAATGTACAGAGGATGATCTAAAAAGAGTATACACAAACATAAATACAACATAATCACATTCATGTGCTTGAAAAGAACTAGAAAATTCACGCTATATTTACAATCAGCAAAAATAGGCTTTTTATGTCATTTGATTACAAGACACACGCTTTGTCCAGAAAGTGGATGCTATCAATAATACCACCCGATTCTACCTAATAGATCTGATAAGTATCAGTTTCGGTGACATCACCATTCATGGTGATGTCACCAAACCTGATTATGTGATTCTGATCAGATGATTGATGACTGGTGCTGTCACTAGTATTGAAGTGAAGAGATATAATAGAGAAAGTTACACTATAGAGTACAACGCAAGTATCGTCGTAACACCACATGGCGCTCTATGTTGTCAACCAGACAGTCAAGCTCTCATTACGCCTGAATGACTTCATAATAATAATGGTTTAATAGGCTTTCTGGAATAGGCATTTTAAAACCTACAGTAATAATTTACCATTAAAATGTACTAAAAACAGAAAAGCTTACATTAAATTTAAAGTTATCAAACTTATATTTCATCATCAATAAAATTTACACAAAAAAATTAAGATGCATCATAATAATTACATTAGAAATGGGATCAATGGTTTATCAGTGGAGACAATGGATCAGGTTGAGCGCATAATTGGTCGCTGATAGCAACTAAATAGTATCACATGGTTTAGTGACATAACAATGTAGTACTCTATTTAAATTACCTTTGCTCTTCATCAGGCTTCTTAATGAGGTTAAATAAAATGTTTAGTAGCTTATCACGTTCCCTAGTGTCCGGATGTAGACTAACTGTGTAAAGTATAACAGGAATCAGCTCCTATAGGAAAAGAAAATAATTTGTGAAACCATACTTTGTCAAATCATTACAAGTACTGTAACTCTCACTGCGACCATTAAACCAACTCAAATTTTAATATTATCTATTCTTAATTGCCTCTTGTTTCTCTATCATCCCATAGTAATTACAGAAGGGTTTTATCACAATAAGAACATTATAAACTGAAGTCCTGTCCCAGGCATGGATCCAGAGTTGCACAGACTGG